TGAAAAGACTGCATAATTCATATTTCTCCTGCATGTGAACCTGAAATTTGATGAGACTTAGTTGTGAAAATAAGTTATATTCAGGTGGTCACTGGACAGTAGAAGTGTATAATTCATTAACTTTCTCATTGCGAAAAGAAGGCAAATATATCAGATGCCTTACTTCAAAACCTGATGCTGCCTTCAGTGTTATTCACTTGGATTATCACCATACTGCCCATTTCTAATTTTATTATCGCCAGTGGCTGTGTTTAAAATGGGAGAATCCTGAATGAGTCCTGTCTTAATGATGGATTGTGTTCTGCCAGAAATGGCCTCATCAGGCAGTGCCAGATTCCAGATAACTGTACTTTTTCACATTCATATCCAGCTTAAATGAGATTTTTTTTTTTTTAAAGTGTAAAGTGTGTTCTGCAGGGGAGAAGAATATGGTTTTAAGTTTACAGTCTAACATGATAATTGATGTAATTTGTAATTTGTTTATATTTTCTATGTACAGTAAAGAAATGTTTGCAAAAATGGAAATCATTGGCCAGTTCAATTTAGGGTTTATAATAGCAAAGTTGAATTCTGATCTTTTCATAATTGACCAACATGCTACTGATGAAAAATACAACTTTGAGATGTTACAACAACACACTGTTCTTCAAGGTCAGAAGCTGATAGCGTAAGTATTTTTGGTGTCTTAACAATAATAATTAAGTTTAATTCATGTTTCAGAAGGCTCTCTATGGTTGTATTTATGTAGCGTTTCACACGTTCAAAACACTTAGGACAGAAGTCGTTTGTATATTCTGTGTTTCAAAGAGTCAGTTTTCACATGAAAAACAAATTCCACAGATACAGCTGTAGCTATGCAGCGAGTCGATGGGCAAACAGATTTCATAGTGGGCTTCTGTGGCAGCCCAGCGTTTGGTGAGCGCGGTCGTACAGCGAGGGTACTGGAGACTGCTGTCGCAACAGGGAGAGCTGCCCAACCGACTGAGCCCTGCTGAGAACACTTGGGAGTGATCTGTTCAGTGCTGAGATATTTTAACAAAGCAAAGTGAAATGTTCTAATAGAGAGCTCGGGATTGGTATCTCTAGATTGCTTCTGAAACCTATCTGAAATGGTCTGCACTATGTACCTATGCAATAGCGTATTTCTCTCTTCTTTCAGGCCTCAAAATCTCAATTTAACAGCTGTAAATGAAACTGTATTGATTGAAAACCTGGAAATATTCAGAAAAAATGGGTTTGATTTTGTCATAAATGAAAATGGTGAGTTTGGTCCAGAATTGCTGGAAGTAAAAAAAAAAAAAACCAAACAGTTTAATCTAATTTATTATGCAAAAATCCCTTTTGGTAGTTATCAGAAACTTTGACATAATAATATGCATTCTAGTATATGGTTTGTTCGAGTTCCTTAAGACTTAGGATTCTGTGCACTATTTAATAGAAGATTGTATTTATCTCACTAGCTCCTTAGAGAAGTTTTTGAAGACTCTTTGGAGTCACTGTTTGATTATATGACTGGATGTCTATTTTCTGCATATGTTACATTAAAATCCTTTTGGTTTATTGGTACGCTTGCTGGTCCCTGCAGGGTTAGATGCAGGCAAATTACAAATCTAGTAATTTTAAATTAATAGATACCATTGGTAAGTTACGTTCTTTGGTTTTCCTTATGGCTTTAGCATTGACTTGCTATGTACTTCTGAGCAAGTTGCGTAACCTGCAAGCTCCTCGTTCTCGTACAGCAAGGATCATGAAATCGCTGTGTGTTGCCACTTTGGTATTGGGGAAGTCACTAAAGATTCTTTTTTCCACTTTCTTCACAGAATCACCACTTTTCGTCTAAAATGCTATTAATTATCAGTCTCTTACCAACAAAAATCCTTAATTATTTTGTAGTCACATAACCCCTCAAAATAGCTTCATAAACCATTTATTCTTTGAAGGGCTTGTCAGAAACTAGATCTATCTGCTTGTAAGTTTGCAAGCAATTTTTTTGTTAATGTTAAAAGGATATCTGCTATAGTTACCACTATGGTTAGTTACTAACATCCATCAAAAGACTACATTTAAACCTTACCATATTAACAGATCACATCATATTAATGTAACAACGTAGTTTCTTAATTTTACTCTCAAGTGCTGTGTTCCTTTATTAATTATTGCAAATCTTTCAGCTCCTGTAACTCAAAGAGTTAAATTAATATCATTGCCAACAAGCAAAAACTGGACTTTTGGTCCACAAGACATAGATGAGCTGATCTTCATGTTAAGTGACTGTCCTGGAGTCATGTGTAGGCCCTCCAGGGTCAGACAGATGTTTGCTTCTCGAGCTTGCAGGAAGTCTGTAAGTACTGCACTTGATGTTTGTTTTCAAACAAATACCATATTTTCTGTTGTATTGTAGGTGGCTGTATCTGTGTATATATATTGCAGGGGAAGTTTATTTACGATTGAGTGTCAACATATATTTTTCATCTTCCTCTTTGTGTTTTTGTCTACTGTAACTTGGGAAAAATTTCTGGTAGTGTTTTGTTTCAAACTAGTGCACTTGTGAACATACTTAGCCATATTTTGTCTGCTGATCATCTTGTAGGTCTTTCTGCTTCTAATGCCTTGCACAGCATTTATTTACTCTAGCAGCTGAAGTACTGCTCTTATCCGTGTCCATCGTCAATACGGAGAAAGAAAATAATAATTGGGGTTTTTGCCTCTACTTGCAGGTGATGATTGGAACTGCGTTGAATGTGCAGGAAATGAGAAAACTGGTCACCCACATGGGCGAGATTGAGCATCCCTGGAACTGCCCCCACGGAAGGCCTACCATGCGACACATAGTCAGTCTAGACTTGATTTCACCAGAATAAGTCAGTCTCTTCTTGTTAACATTTTTTATTTTAATTCTTGGCAATATTTTGAGCTTTTATCATGACTCTCTTATTTTGAGGGGAAAAAAAAAATTTTAGCCAGTCTTAAAATGTGAAGACCGCAACACTGGAAGGTGTTCAGCGGTGTTTCACTGTTACTCCAATCAGGTCAACAATAGCGACATACTGGAATTCACGTGTAAATAACATTTCTTTCATTGCGATTTACTGTGTCTATTACTTATTTTTGTGATCAAGACTTTTAAAAAATAAATATGTTTGTATGTAAAGCTGAACAGTAGGTGAACCTTATTTATAGCAAATACACTGATTCTTTAGGTGGAATGTGCATCTATGTCTCCAGTAATTCCATAAAACAAACATTCACTGATTATGTTTATATATCCTCTCTATGGTTAAAGAAAATGTAAATTATATACAAGTGAAAATACTATTTTTTTTTAACTGATACTAAAGCTGGGTTTCATAAGATAATTATTTCAAGCATTAATATTGCATTTAATAATTAACATACTGGCATCCATGTTTAGTGCTTGACTAGGGTAATTCACCTGGCATATTTACTTTTAATTAGCGGTGTTCCCATGCGTATTCCAAACACTTTTTGTCAAGAACGGCTTCCTTCTCTGAGAAGGAACGGAAAACAGCTGTCTCACAGGCACTGCCGCTCAGGACGGCCCCAATTCTGTCTCGGTGGAACCAAAACAGTTCGAAATCCGTCACTTTGAGGTACGTATCCGTTAAGAGCAGCA